GCAGAGGGCACGGCAGGAGGCGCCGAAGGTGTGTGGGGGTGCGAGGAGCTGTCCCACTGCAAACTTCATTCCATATGTAGTATGCAATAAATACTTGAAGAGTTAAGTGATTATTGGAAAACACGAATGGTCTGGGCACGATCGACATTATAACTTCCAATGAAGAGTTCATTGGTCAAGACACCAATGGTCTAGAGTTCAAAGTCATCTATTGGCTGCTTCATTTCAGCGAGTGTTTTGAGAATTCTCAAAAAACACTCATTGCCTTTATGTATTATCACGTTCATTAACCTCAACTGCTTGTGCGTCGTCCACCACCAGTTATGAAGTCATGGAGTCTGGTCAGCGGATGATGCCGAAGGAAGCAGTACTAGCAATTTTGAGCGGTAACTCCACCTCGCCCCACTGCGAACTCCACCTCGCAACCACCTTTGTTACAACCAATGGACGCACCTGCAGCAGCGAGCTGGTTGGAATCTTCTCCAGGTCCAGAAAGAGCAGCGGCCTGAATGCACGCAGGGCGCGGTAGGAGGCGCCGAGGACGTGTGTGGGGAAGAGATGCTGCCCCACGGCGAACCCCAGCTCGCCCATGTCCCTCGCCTTGGGAAAGAGGTGTAGACCAGCCCCATGGCAAACTCCACTATTAGGTGCACAGCATGGCTTGCAGTCACTCACTGCCACTGCAGACGCTTGTCACTTGTGATACCGTCAACATACTAACTGACCTGCAGTAGCGAGCTGGTGGGGATCTTCTCCAGGTCAACGAAGAGCAGCGGGCGGAAGGCGCGGAGAGCACGGTAGGAGGCGCCGAGGGCGTGTGTGGGGAAGAGATGCTGCCCCACTGCGAATTCCAGCTCGCCCATGTCCCTCGCCAGCCTCAACCGCCCCGCCTCTGAGAGTGGCCGTACCAGCGAGGCGTGGCGCACAAAGAAGAGCAGCGTGCGAGATGCGAGGCTGGGAGAGGGGGGTGAGAGGGAAGGGGAGGGAAGCAGGGGGCAGGGCAGTGGGGGGAGGTCATTCAAGTCTCTCAGAAGTAATTGAATTAAAATAAAAAAAAAAAAAAAAAAAAAAAAAAAAAAAAAAAAACTTTTCAGAGAAGCACACACGAGAACCTAGCGTTGTGGGCGCACGAGCGAGGCGTGGCGCACAAAGAATAAGAGTGCGCGATGCCAGGCTGAGGAGGGGGGGGAGAGAATGGGAGAGGGAGAGCTTAGCGTTGTGTACGGGGCTGGGCTACGAGCTCCGACAAAGTCGCAGGGGGAAGGGCCGTGGATGTGGATGGGGTCAGAGCAGAGGTCCCCAGGTGGGTGGCAGCACCCGATCCAACAGAGATGCAGCGAATGTGGACGACGCAGGTGTGTTTTGAGTCGACTCAAAACACACATGGTGTCAGAGGCCCCCAGGTGGGTGGCAGCACCCGATCCAACAGAGATGCAGCGAATGTGGACGACGCAGGTGTGTTTTGAGTCGACTCGAAACACACATGGTGTCAGAGGCCCCCAGGTGGGTGGCAGCACCCGACAGAGATGCAGCGAATGTGGACGACGCAGAGACCATTCAAAGAAACGAGCTTACCGTTTGGCAAGGGACTGAGCAACAGGCTCAGAGACAGTCGCAGGGGGCAGGGCGGTGGAGGGAGAGAGAGGGCCTGATCCCGCAGCACCGGACAGAGATGCAGCGAATATGGACGAGGCCGCGCGCGGAGGAGGAGGAGGAGGTAGAGGAGGAGTCAGGGAGAAGAAGCTTGGAGAGGAACTCAGAGTGAAAGTGGGTGATGGCTCGAATGGTGTTCTCCATGTATGGCGAGCAGTTGTCCCCCGCTGACTCGTGCTGCTGATTCTGGTTGTGCTGGTTGTGCTTGTGGGGTGGTGTGGATCCCCCGCTGCTGCTGGTACGGTTTCTTGAGGCCGACCCAGGGGGTGGCGGGGTGGTGGAGGCGGGAGGGGCGTTGGGGTCGTCTGAAGAGAAGTCCTGCTGGTGGATTTGAAGAAGGCATGCCTCGATGCGATCCCGCATGGCCTGGGGAGGGGACGGGGGAGGGCATGGAGAAAGAAACAGGAAGAGAAGGAGGGTGAGAGGAGGGAGGAGCGTTGGGGTCGTCTGAAGAGCTGCTGGTGGATTTGCAGGAGACAGGTTTTGAGACGTCTCAAAACACTTCTGTTTACACGTCGTCTGAAGAGAAGAGTTGCTGGTGGATTTGCAGGAAACAGGCTTCGATGTGGTTGCGCATGACCTGGGAACGGGGAGGGCTCGGAGAAGAGAAAGGGGGAAGTGGAGGAGGAAGGGGTGTTGGGGTCGTCTGAGGAGAAGTCCTGCTGGTGAATTTGCAGCAGCCAGCCTTCAATGCGATCGCGCATGGCTTGGGGAGAGGGAGAGCGCAGGTGTGTGTGGAGGAAGAAACAAAGTGGGCAGGGGAATAGGGTGGGCAAAAGAGGGAGGGGCGTTGGGGTAGTCTGAGGAGAAGTCCTGCTGGTGGATTTAGAGGAGGCAGGCCTCGATGCGATCCCGCATGGCCTGACAAAAAGGGAAGGGCATGGAGAGAAGAACGGGAGCAGAAGCGAGGCGGTGGAGGAGGAAGGAGGGGCGTGATGCAGGCTACAAGGCACCAGCGGCAGAGAATGCAGAATGACGGTCCAAGATGCAAGATGTACGGCACGTGCAAACCAGGTGTGCTGTGCGCACCTTGAAACATGAGATGAGCACACCTTCAAGTTTCAACAGCGGAGCCACAGCATGAATAGTCGAGTTTTGAGTCGACTCAAAACTCGACTTCGAGTTTCAACAGCAGAGCCACAGCGTGCATAGCCACGCCCAGCACAGCACGGACGGACCCCACACCTGCCTCCATCACTGAGTCTGCTGCACGATGCAGGCTACAAGGCACAGCCATTTGTGTGTGCAGATGAGACATGGTGTAAGCCCACCTTGAAGAGCGGAGCCACAGCATGCATAGCCACGCCCAGCACAGCACGGACGGACCCCACACCCGCCTCCATCACGCAGTCTGATGGCCCATGGAAGATCATGTGCTGTGCTGTGTATGAAGCATCATTTGGACCCACCCACACACCTTGAAAAGTTTACTTTTGAGTCGACTCAAAAGTCGAACGAGTCTGATGGCCCATGGAAGTTGATGTGCTGTGTATGAAGCATCGTATGGACCCACGCACCTTGAAGAGCGGAGCAACAGCATCCATGGCCACCCCGTGCACAGACTCCACACCCGCCTCCATCACGCAGTCTGCCTCCTCTGGAAGGCGGGCGAGTAGTTTTGAGACGTCTCAAAACGAGTAGGTGCACGCAGTGTGCGTGCACCGTCCCCAGCCAGCAGAACACACAGCAGAAGTACCCCAGCAGGAGCACCCCAGCAGGAGCACCCAAGCAGGAGATGAACCCACACACCTTGAAGAGGGGAGCGACAGCATCCATAGCCACGCCATGCACGGACCCCACACCCGCCTCCATCACGGAGTCTGCCTCCTCTGGCAGGCGGGCCAGCAGCTGCATGCAGCGTGTGTGCACTGCTCCCAGCAGCACGCACAGGGAGATGTTGCGCTGCTGCGCTGGCGAGCAGGGGGCGAGCACTTGGCGGGACTCTGGGCCTGTAGCGACCTGGAGAGGATGGGGGGAAAGGAAGGGGGTGGGACAGGGGTGAAGGATGTAGTGAGGAGGTGTATGCAGCGCGCGTGCACTGCCCCCAGCAGCACGCACAGGGCGATGTTGCGCTGCTGCGCTGGCGAGCAGGGGGCCAGGACCTGGCGTGACTCTGGGCCTGTAGCCACCTGGAGGGTGTAGGGGAGGGAAAAGGGGAGAAATAGTGAAGCAGGTGCATGCAGCGTGTGTGCACCGCTCCCAGCAGCACGCACAGGGAGATGTTGCGCTGCTGCGCTGGCGAGCAGGGGGCGAGCACTTGGCGGGATCCAGGGCCTGTTGCAACCTGCAGAGTACAGGGGGAGACGAGGAGAGGGAGCGAGAAGTGAGGAGGTGCATGCAGCGCACTGCCAGCAGCTGCAGCGCCTTGCCTGCATTCGCCAGCTCAAGCCTCAAAACCTAGCATAGGCGCAAGAAACGTACCTAGTATCTCCCACACAAGCACCCACCCACACACCCATGCGGCGGCGCACGCCTGGTACCAGGTACACCAGGTACCACCCGCATGCACCCAGTGCGCCTCAAAACCTAGCATAGGCGCAAGAATCGTACCTAGTATCTCCCACACAAGCACCCACCCACCCACACACCCATGCGGCGGCGCACGCCTGGTACCAGGTACACCAGGTACCACCCCGCATGCACCCAGTGCGCCTCAAAACCTAGCATAGGCGCAAGAATCGTACCTAGTATCTCCCACACAAGCACCCACCCGCACACCCACCCATCCCACTCACCTGGTATTCACAGCGTTCCGCCAGCAGTTGAAGCGCCTTGCCCGCATTCTCGCCAGCACGAGCCTCAGCAGCCCCTGGAATGGTTATGCCTCACACATCATGACACACCACCACACATCCACCTGGTATTCACATCGCTTCGGGCCAGCAGTTGAAGCGCCTTGCCCGCATTCGCCAGCACGAGCCTCAGCAGCCGGCCATTCCCCTTCACCGCCTCTACCTCCTCCTCCATCCTCGTTATAAGCCTCACCCCCGCCTCCGGCCCCGGCACACCTCCCCTCCCGCCCCCTGCGGCTGGCATCATGGTGTTGATCGGGTCGGTCATTCTAGAGAGCGAGAGGGGCCAGATAGGCTGCCTGAAACGGCTCCAAAGCAGCCATCATCTGCGCGCGATGCTCCACAGAAATAACCGCCGGAGTGCCGCCATTGCCCACGAACCTGCCACAGCACCGCCTCCAAACCGCTCCCAACCCAAACCCTCCTCCTCCCCGCTCCTCCCGCTCCTCCTCCACCAGCTCCGCCTCCCCCTCCCCCCAGCACACGCACGTCTGTATCGGCATGCAGGCGGTCCAGGAAGGATTCTAGGGAGGGCGAGGAGGCGGGGGTAGGCAGAGACGAAGGTCTCCTTGACAAAGGAGGAGGCGGTGAACGTGGCTCGTAGCTGCGAGGAGAAGGCTCGGAGTAAGGCTTCCCACACTCGCTCTGTTGGTAGTGCGTCTCCTGACTGGAGGCACATGGGGGTGGGCGGTGGGGAAGAGGGTGAGCATGCGGAGCTTCCGCCTGCGGGCGGTCCAGGAAGGATTCTAGGGAGGCGAGGAGGCGGGGGTAGGCGGAGACGAAGGTCTCTTTGACGAAGGAGGAGGCGGGTGAACGTGGCTCGTAGCTGCGAGGAGAAGGCCCGGAGTAAGGCCTCCCACACCCGCTCTGTCGGCAGGGCGTCCCCTGCCTGGCAAGGAGAGGGTGCGGAAGGGGGATATAGAGAAAAACCAGGAGGGTCAAACAAGGCTTGACGGGTGGCAAAACGAGTGGCTCGCAGCTGCGAGAGCAAGCCTATCAAGCCCCTGTCTGTCGCTATCCATTCCATTCTGCACACAAGCCCATGCCTCCTCCCCCACCTGCAGCATGTGATCCAGGAACACCATATGTGAGATGAAGTCTCGCTTCTTTTGATAGCCCCTACCAATTCAGTACCCACTTCCACTAGCCAAGCCAACCCCCTCCCACACCCCCTCCACTCCCTCCCTCCCCCCTCCCCCCACCCCCCACCTGCAACACGTGGTCCAGGAACACCACATGTGAAATCGGATCTCTTTTGAGGCGCCTCAAAAGTCATGTGAAATCGGATCTCTTTTGAGGCGCCTCAAAAGTCATGTGAAATCGGATCTCTTTTGAGGCGCCTCAAAAGTCATGTGAAATCGGATCTCTTTTGAGGCGCCTCAAAAGTCATGTGAAATCGGATCTCTTTTGAGGCGCCTCAAAAGTCATGTGAAATCGGATCTCTTTTGAGGCGCCTCAAAAGTCATGTGAAATCGGATCTCTTTTGAGGCGCCTCAAAAGTCATGTGAAATCGGATCTCTTTTGAGGCGCCTCAAAAGTCATGTGAAATCGGTTCTCACATCTTGTAGCCCGTGCCTGCCAATTTTTCATACAAGCCCACCCCTCCCCCTTTCCTCTAACCACCAACACCCCACCCCCCATCTGCAACACGTGGTCCAGGAACACACATGTGAATCAGATCACCCTCCCTCCCCCCTCCACTCACTTCTTTTAGCCCAGGCCTGCAACTTTTTCATACAAGCCCACCCCTCCCCCCTTTCCTCTAACCACCACCCCCCCTCCCCCGACCTGCAACACGTGGTCCAGGAACACGACGTGGGAGATCGGATCTCGCTTCTTCGCCATCACTCGCTGCAGGTGCCACGTCAGCACCATAACACGCGCCAGCTCATCCAGGCATCCAGTCAGCCGCTGCCACAGCGCCTCCCGGGCTCTGGGGGCGCCACCCATTGGAGGAGTGCCGCTGCGCATGGCCCCCCCTGGGAGAGCAAGGGGGACAGGCAGGGGGGACAGGCAGGGGAGAACGGGAAAGGGTGAACTCAGGAACGGGAGCAGATGAGCTTCGAACCAGCTCAGTTACTCAGCCGCCGCTGCCACAGGGCCTCCCAGGCTCTAGGTACGCCGCGCCGCCCATTGGAGGTGTACTGCTGCACATGGCTCCTCCTGGGAATGGGAGGAAGAGAGAGACCCAATGGGGAAAGGCGGGTAGTGAGAGAGGTGCAGATGGCAGCGGGGGGACCATTGTGGGCGAGGCGATGAACGAACTATAACGTCAAATCAAGTTCCAATGCGCACCAGGTTAGCACTGCAAGCTTGTCTCGAGTTCAAGAAACGAATTCAGATAGCAAGGAGGGCGTACGGACGGACTATACGCATACCTGGTCCGCCCACGGAGCCACCCAAGCCTCCTCCACCTCCTGATGCTCCCATGCTCGCACTGATAGCCTGCTTGCCGGGAGAACAACAGTGAGGGGTAGTGAGGGGTGAGTGAGGCAACAACGAGTGCAGAGACATGAGAGGGAGACAGGCATGTACGTGCGAGAAGGGTGCAGAAACGATAACTTGCGACTTCTATGAAGGGAAGCCACAACTGGCAGGGCACACAAAAAAGAGTCCATGGCCGCTGCTTGCATAGCCTGCCCCTTGTGCTTCGAGGGCGGCTGAAGCCCCTTGTGCTTCGAGGGCGTCAGGAACGTCCCATACACCTTCCACGCCCAAGAATAGCCAAGCAAAGCACCTTCGATGTGAAATCAATAAGGAAAGCCCATACCTTCATGTCGAGCCCTGTGGCGACGGCTCGCATGGCCTGCCCCTTGTGCTTCGCTACCAGCTGATCCACCGTCTGCCTCAGCTCCCCCATGTTGAAAAACACCTGAGATAATGCGACAACACACACACACACACACACACACACACACACACACACACACACACACACACACACACATACGCAAAAAAAAGGGAGGGGAGGGAGGAGAGGAAGGAGAGATGAAAAAGGAGGAGAGAGTTGTTTTGAGCTTACATCACTTTCAAGGTTTCAAATCATGAAAAACTAATTAAGAGAAGTGGACGAACGGGCGGGTTCCTTTAATCCCCTTCGACAACAAACCCCCTCTCCCCTTTCGTCGCCCTTCATTTCCGTTTCAACCCCCTTTCTGAAACTCTCTCCTCTCACCTGCAGCATAGAGGTGATGGGCCCATCACCTCTCATCGCCTCTATGCTGGGTGATGGGTGAGAGGCGATGGGCCCCATCACCTCTCATTGCCTCTAAGCCCATCATGCTCCTGACTTCAACCTAACCCATCGCCTCTATGCTCCCAATCCCTATTCCTCTCCTCTCCACTCCCCCCATTTCTGTCCAGCTCCCCTGTCCTTTCTCCTTCACCGAAAGCCCTAACTCTCTCCCCTCACCTGCAGCAAGCTCTCCCACTTCAGCCTGGTTCATCGCCTCCATGCCTCCTTCCTGCGCCTTCATAGCCTCTCTCCGTATAGCCTGTCCCGCCTCCACCACCCACTCCTGTTGTGCCTCCACCACCCACTTTTTTTAGTCGACTCTTGAGTTGATTTTTGTAGTCGACTCAAAACCCCCCTCAGCTGCGTCTCCAACACCCACTCACATGTGCAACCCTCTCACCGGCAGCACCCCTCACCTGCAGCACGCTCCCCACTTCAGCTTGGTTCATCGCCTCCATGCCTCCCTCCAGCGCCCTCATCGCCTCTCTCCTGAAAGTCTGCCCCTTATTGACCCCTACTGGCCCTCACTGCCCCTCACTGCCCCACCGTTCCCCACCCATCCCAACCAAATTCTTACCTGCAGCACCCCTCACCTGCAGCACGCTGCCCACTTCAGCCTGGTTCATCGCCTCCATGGCCCCCTCCAGCGCCCGCATCGCCTCTCTCCTGATAGCCTACCCCTTGTTGCCCCGCATTGCCCCTCATTGCCCCAAGAACCCCCCAACTCAAACACTCATTCCCGCAGCACCTCTCACCTGCAGCACGCTCCCCACTTCAGCCTGGTTCATCGCCTCCATGCCTCCTTCCAACGCCTTCATCGCCTCTCTCCGTATAGCCTGCCCTGCCTCCGCCACCCACTCGTGCTGTGCCTCCACCACATGCACCCCCCCCAGCTGCGCCTCCCTGTGCACCGCCCCCACCTCCTGCCACACCTGCCCCGCCTTGCTCAGCTCCGCCTTCTCAACGCCTGCAGCTAAATGCTCCCGCAGCTTGCGCACCTGAGGTGGGGAGAGGAGAGGATTGAGGGGGAATGGGGACATCTGAGTCCCCACGTCCTGCCACACCTGCCCCGCCTTCCCCAGCTCCGCCTTCTCTACCCCCCCATTCAGGTGCTCCTGCAGCTTGCGCACCTGAGGAGGGAGATACATGGGGCCGGGGGAGATTAAAGAAGAGGGTGGGGGGGGTGGTTAGGGGGTTTTGAGACATCTCCCGCCCCACCTCCCGCCACACCTGCCCTGCCTTCCCCAGCTCCGCCTTCTCTACCCCCGCACCCAGGTGCTCCCTCAGCTTGTGCACCTGGGGGGGAAAGGAGAGGGTGGGGGAGGGATGGGGGGATTTGAGACGTCTCCTGCCACACCTGCCCCGCCTTCCCCAGCTCCGCCTTCTCCACCCCAACATTCAGGTGCTCCCACAGCTTGCGCACCTGGGGAAAAGGTGGAGGGGGAGGGGGATTTGCGGAGAATCAGGTGAAGGGGCAAACAAGGAGGGATGGTGGTGTAAGGATTGGGGGAGTTTTGAGGCGCCTCAGAACACACCTACACCGCCCCCCCCCTCAAAACACACCTCAGAGGCGCCTCAGAACACACCTACACCGCCTGCCCCTGCCTCTGCCACCCACTCGTGCTGTGCCTCTACACATGCATGCACCCCCCCCCAGTTGCGCCTCCCTATGCACCTACCTACCTGCCAAGAAGTTCCATCTGCTTCGCAGCAGAAGATTTGCACCAACTGGAGCATTTCCGCCCAGCTCTCCTTGAATCTCCTTCATTCCCCTTGAATTTCATCAACCGAAATTGACTACCCTTGACTCCCCTTGTGATAGCCTCGATCCAACAGCTTGCACTTTTCGTGGTCTCCACTCACAACAACCAGGCAGTTAATATCCACAACCCCCTTGTAATGTAATTTATCTCCACTCATCAGTTTGAGGTATTGAATGGCGGATCTCAGCAGCTCCATGGTGACGAAAAGGGCGGCCAGCTGACTTGTCGAGGTGACATTTGAGTCAACTATTGACTCTATTGTACTCGATTGTGGGACTTCTATATCGACTCAAAGCTCACCAGCTTGACTTGAGGTACAAAGTGACGGCTCTCAGCAGCTTGACTTGAGGTACAAAGTGACGGCTCTCAGCAGCTCCATGGTGTCGTAGAGCGCTCTGAGGCGCCTCAAATCAAAGTCTTCTCCGCTCACCTTGAAGTAGTTAAATTCCTACTCACCAGTTTGAGGTACTTGATCACAGCTCGCAGCAGTTCCATGGTGTCGTACAGAGCTGCCAGCTGACGTGTCTTCACCTGAATGGCCCGATACGGGTCTGCTATCTCTGCCCGCACGCGCTGAGGGTGGGGAGACAAAGAGCCCAAGCGAATTGTTTAGCGATTCGGTTAATAAATTCTGTTAGAAATCATATACATATTCTCAAGGCACAAGAGTGAGTGATAACAGAATTCCCCCTCCCTCTCCTCTCAGGATTCCCCCTCCTCTCCTCTCAGAAATCCCCGTCCTCTCCCTTGCACGATCTTGCTCATGGTCCTCTTCCATCCTTCACTCACTCATGCATTCATACGTGTTTTGAGTCGACTCAAAACACGCCTCGATCTCGCTCATGGTCCTCTTCCATCCTTCACTCACTCATGCATTCATACGTGTTTTGAGTTGACTCAAAACACACCTCGATCTCGCTCATGGTCCTCTTCCTTCCTTCACTCACTCATGCATTCATACACAGAAACGCACCTGGACGGAGGCTAGTAACGAGTCGACTCCAGCGCGCACCACAGACAGCACGCCCTCTGTGTCTTTTAACGAGGATAGCTGCTGCAGCAGGTCGTCATGATGCGTTGCCACCTCAGCCTGCACCTGCGCCTGCAGCGCAGATATCACCTCCCCCAGTTGAGCCGTGGTCAGCACAGATGAGCCTTCCTTTCCTCCTGCTGCCATGCTGTGTGCTAGGGCCTATAAGTGGGAAAGGGTAACGGGAAACGTAAGTTGGAGGAAAGGGGGAAGGTAGAAGGAAGTTGGGAAACAGCAGCTTATATATCACCTCCCCCAGTTGTACTGCTGTGAGCAAAGAATGTCAGGGGAGAGAAGGCGGAAAAGGAGAGATCATGAAGAAGATATCGCCGGCCTGAGTTGATCTGAACACATAAGAGCCTTCATCGTCAGAGCACATAAGATATCCCCCTCCTTAGATATTGTGCATCGTAAAGGCCTGTGGTGGTGTGATGTGATGGAGATTTCATGACATGTGGAAAGAATCACAAGTTTGGCTCTCAACCAATCACAATGTGCAGCCAAACGATCGTCCGCTACTATGCTCTCTGGAGATGTTGCGCAATCAAGAGGCGACTTGCAGTGCGTACTATCAATAACGAATCCACCTGCAGTGTACGAATGATTAGGAAGCACCCACCCGTTGAGACAACCGTGGCGCATAGACGTCTTTAAAGCAGCTCTTCAAACGTCTACATGCCGAAGCTGACAAACATCTACCTCTAAACCGGTTCTTCGAACGTTTTCAAACCGTACTGATGCATCTGCCTTATTTTCATATCTTCATGCGTCTACAAACGGTAACTAACAAGCACCTGCGCTTTTCTACAGTTGGCCTGCACGATGTCCTGAAGTTGCTCCGACCGCGTTTTGAGTCGACTCAGAAACAGGCTCAACATCCATACTAATTCCTGCTGCTGTTGTCACACGAACCTGCAATGCGTCGATGTCTTTAAGTTGCTCCAGCTGACGTGCCAGCTCATCGTTGCGCAAGACCCCCCCTTCCCGCGGGGAATGCGGAGACGCTTCCTCCTGCGCCTGCACGTTCCGCAATACCCCCTTTGCGGAGGCCATTGCGGCCGAACTTGCCGTGAAATGCGGACAGGCTACAAGGAGGATGAACAGACAACTGATCTGGCGGTTTGCGCGAGTCAGCTGTCTACAACATCAAGGTATTTCCGCCGGTCCCACTCTTTGGATATGACGACGTTCCGCAGAATACGGAATCCAGAAAACCAGTACGTCAGTAGTTCCGCTCAGGAGAAGCGTAGAAATGTGTCGGTGCCAGATCAACTGCAAGAATTCCGGAAAAACACACTCACAGGTGCTTCAATACAGCACCATGTAATGTGCGTGCGCACTTCATTTCTACAGCCTTAGTTTTCACCAGTTTTCATAATTTATCGCTTAACAAGATCACAAATGTTCCAAGGCCCCTTCTCTGACTAAAATGCGTGTCATGCCCTACGCGGTATCATGAAAAATCAACTTCCCTACAAATCATAATATAAAATAAACACAATAATTTTGTTTACCATCCTTCAGGTTCCCGCATCTGCATACTATTAAGTCAACCTGTTTCTTTGTGCCCGCTTTTTAGCATTAGGTGAGAGACATTGTTTGCTTTCAGGCTTTCAAACATTTAATTGTAATGCCCTTTATTGATACGTGTCTTAGTTCTGCGCTATGTAAGGAAAATCCATTTTCCTTACTTCGCATCCCTGCTCAACGCGTACATCACTGTAGCACCTCAGTCAGCACCGTTACCACTCGCGATCCTCGCATCTACAATCATCCCGCCATCTTCGCACATTGCACCCCGACCTCACGGCTCGGCTGGTAACCCGCGCTCCGGGCCTCCGCTTCGACACTTTCCCAACCTCAGTCCCAGGCTCGTCGCACGACAACCACAGTCCATTACCGTTACCACTGTAGTTTCGCTATATATTCTTCGCTCATGCCTTTGCTCATTGGATTCTTGCTTCGATAGTGCAATTCTCGTTCGTTCACATCAATTGCACTCGTAACACGCTACAAGATCCTACGTCTTTTGCGGGTTGGTACTAGCATCGTGAAAGCCTCGGGTTTGCACATTGAATTTGTTACGAGTGCAATTGAGTGAACGAACGAGAATTGCACTATCGAAGCAAAGAGTACAATGAGCGAAGGCATGAGCGAAGGATTATATAGCGAAACAATAGTGGTAACGGTAATGGACTGTGGTTGTCGCGCGACGAGCCTGGGGCTGAGGTTGGGAAAGTGTCGAAGCGTAGGCCCGGAGCGCGGGTTACCAGCCGAGCCGTGAGGTCGGGATGCGATGTGCGAAGAGGGCGGGATAATGAATGATGCGATGGTCGTGAGTGGTAACGGTGCTGACTGAGGTGCTACAGTGGCGTACGCGTTGAGCAGGGACGCGAAGTAAGGAAAAGGGAATTTCCTTACACTACCCCCCCTCCCCAAGGAGGCCCCTCTTACGAGAGCGCATGGATGTCGCGGAAATTTCGGCTTCGCAGATACTCGGGGAAGACAGGGTGGTTCTCAATTTTATCCAGGGGGACCCAGTTGTCTTCTGTGGGCGTTCGGTCCTTCCAGCGAATTAGGAACTCTATCCTTCGGGCTCCCCGAGGGTCGCGGACTCGGTGGCTGAGGATTTTCTCAGGGGTGATGAGTGGTTCGGTTGGGGGACGTGTCATGCTAGCTGGGCGATTTCGTGGCAGTTGGCTCGTGGATGGGATGTAAGGGCGAAGTAGGCTGACGTGGAATGACGGGCTGACGTACCAGTCAGCAGGGAGGAGGAGGGTGGGCGGTGACGGGTGTGATCATGTGGCTGATGCGGAATGGCCCACAATACCGGGGGCGAAGTTTTGGAGTGATGGGCAGGCGAAGATTCTGAGTGTCGAGTAATACGAGGTCGTCGGGCTGATAAGTAACGGGTCTGCGATGTCGATCGGCGTTACGTTTAGCGATGATGTTTGATTTTTTGATTGCTTCTGCTGCCCTGGTCCGTGCTGCTTGCAGAATCTCGGCGAACTGTTGTGCTCGTGGGACTGGGTTGTCGGGATTCGGTGTCATGGGTACTGTTGGGTCCTGTCCGTAATTCAAATAAAACGGCGACTGTTGCGTCGTGGCTGATGGTGCGTTATTGTATGCGAACTCGATGAGTGGCAGCTGCTGTTCCCACGTATTCGGGTCGTCGCACGTGGCTCGAATCAGCTGCTCCATGGTCTGATTTGTCCGTTCCGTCTGTCCGTCGGTTTCGGGGTGATAGGATGAACTGAACTGTAAGCGCGTGCCGAACTGCTGCCACAGGTTCCGCCAGAAGTTGCTGGTAAATTTCGTGTCCCTGTCGCTGATGATCGACGCGGGTATCCCGTGCAGTCGTACGACGGTGGCGATGAATAGTCGGGCGGTTTCTTCGGCTCTGATGGATTTCCTGCATGCTGCGAAATGAGCCATTTTCGTTAGTCGATCGACGACGACCAGGATCGCGTCATTCCCACTCGCCCCAGCTGGTAACCCCGTGACGAAGTCCATCGTCACCTGCTGCCAAGCACGCTCTGGAGGCGGGATGGGTTGTAATTGCCCCGCTGGTCGCTTCCTGCTTGACTTCATGAGCTGGCAAGTGGGACACGATGCCACGTGTCGTTGCACATCGGTCAACATTTCTGGCCAGTAGTAGTACCGCTGCAGCTGCTGCCGTGTTTTTTCTACCCCGAAATGTCCCGAGGTAACTCCGTTGTGTGCTTCCTGTAACAGTAGTTCCCACAGTAGCGTGTATCCCGGTACCCAGATGCGGTCGGTTCCAGTTTTTACGTAATAGACTCCTTTTGCCGCTGCGAATTGCTGTGAGTTGCCTCCTGTAAAGAACGGGTCTGTTTGATATCCGTGGGTAAATAGGCCGGTAAGCAGTGGGCTGGTCTGGGCGAGTAGTATCGCGTGGATCTGGGCAGTGGGGCGGGTCAGTGCGTCGGCGATATTCGATGCTCCTTTTTTGTATGTGACCGTATAGTGAAAATTCGACTCGAGGAAATCGAGCCATCGAATCTGTCGTGGGTTGAGGTGGGGCTGTGCGCGGAGGTACTGTAGAGATCGGTGGTCTGTCCGTACTGTCACGTCTGCGCCAGTCAAGTAGCAGCGCCAAACTTTGAATGCATGCACGATCGCGAGCATTTCGCGGTCGTGTATCGGGTAATTTCGCTCAGGCGGATGTAGTTTGCGTGATTCGTAGGCGATGGGTTGGAGGCCGTTGCCGAAGTCCTGTAACAGTACAGCTCCGATGGCGATGTCACTTGCGTCGGTAACCACTTCGAAAGGGCGGTGGGGATCAGCGATACGTAGAACGGGTGGTGAACAGAGGACGTTTTTTAGGGCAGAGAAGGCAGCATGCTCTTTCTCCCCCCACGTAAAAGCGACCCCCTTACGCAGTAAATCAGTTAGTGGGGCTGTTAAACGTGCCATGTCGGGCACGAACCGTCGAACGTAATTAACAAACCCTAAAAAACTCTGCAGTTCCGTGATGTTTGTCGGGGGGCGCCACGCTTTTACCGTATCCAGCTTCTTTGGGTCGATCTCAACCCCAGCCTCGGAAATGACGTGACCTAAAAACTCTAGCCTATCCCTAAAAAACTCGCACTTGGAGCCCTTGGTGAGCAGCCGATGTTCCTCTAAAACCTTAAAAACTGCTTCAAGATCTGCTAAGTGTTGCTGCTTATCCCGACTGTAAACGAGGATATCGTCGAGGTAAACGATCACGCATTTATCTAAAAGTGGTCTAAACGCCTCGTTCATGGTCATCTGAAAAGTCGCAGGCGCGTTCGTCAACCCGAAAGGCATTACTGTATACTCGAATGACCCGTACCTAGTCCTAAATGCTGTTTTTGCGCAGTCCGATGGTTCGACCCGAATCTGATGGTAACCTCCCCGTAAATCTATTTTCGAAAAGACACGTGCTGTTCGCAGTTGGTCAATCAGTTCGTCGGCGCGGGGGATGGGGTATCGCGATTTGACTGTTACTCGGTTAAGCGCTCGGTAGTCGATGCACATGCGAAAACCTCCGTCTTTTTTCGGTGTGAACAGTATGGGTGCGGCGAACGGTGACGAGCTTGGTCGAATAAACTGCTTCTCTAACAGGTAATCTAACTGCTTCCTTAACTCGTCGAGCTCGGGCTGTGTCAGTCGAAATTGCCGTTGTACTGTTGGCTGTGCCCCCGGTTCTAGCTCGATCCTATGGTCGTGCGCTCGCTGAGGTGGCAGTCCCTGTGGTAAATCATCCGGAAATATCCCCGGGAACCGTTTCAGTAGTGCCTGTAATTCGGTCGGTACGGCTGCTAGCAGTTTCTTTAAATCATTCTGCTGCTCGTCTTTTTCTACCACTGCGATATCCACTGCGTACACGTCAGCTCCAGCGGCGACAGCCCGTTTCATCGTGATGGCGTTGACCTGGACTGTCGAAGATTCGGGTGGCCGCCAGCGAGGTAGGACGACCCAGTTACCGCTACTTCGCACTGTGCAGCTCCCCGTCGTCCAGTCGATCCGTGGGTTGTACCGTCGCAGCCAATCACGTCCCAGTAAAATGTCGTGCCCATCCAGCGTCGTTGCGAGCATTTCCTGTGTAAACCCGAAGTTTCCCCCGCAGCGGACTTTTACTCGCTTTTCTCGTATGGCCAATGGCGTGCCGTCGACTAAGCGTGCATCTATCTCAGGTAAACATCGGTTAAGTATTAACTGTAATCTCCGTGCGGTTGCAGTATTAACTAAGCTGTGACTTGCCCCTCCGTCAATGAAGATTTTCACTGCTGCTCCCTGTATTTTCCCGTAGATCAGTACCGGGCAATCCGTCGCTGTACCCTCCTTATTCATCCGAGCCCGATCGATGGCGTGAATCGGTACTGTGACTCGGTGAGGGTCGGTGTGGTTGGGCGAGCAAGCAGTCTCGTCAGTAGTTGGCCCAACTTCTACTGACTGCTGGCGTTTCCCTGCCTCCGAGACTCCTTCCCTTGCTCTGCTCCTCGACGCCTCAGCTCCTCTGGACATTCGCTTTTGCGATGGCCCGGCCGGTTGCAAGCAAAGCAGCG